CGAAGGACATGTCTGCAGTATCATGCAAGCTGAGAAACCGTCCGATAAAAATTTGTTGCCATAAAATTGAAAAAATCGGCCATGGCTACCCGATATTATTGTATATCAAGATTTGATCTGTTTTATCAAAAAACCTCCTTAAGGGCCCAACCCAACCTACGAAAGCTTTATAAAGTATATATATATATATATTTATATATATATATTCAGTGTTAAATTTGAAATGCATCTAAACCTTTTTGCCGGTCCGTTTGTTTTTCTGACCATGACTGTAGTGTCTCTGGTAAATAATATCACTTTCGCAAAAACGAATTTGTAAGAGATGAGGCCGACCGGTCAAAAAAAATTTGTGACTCAGAAACAACACAATAGACACTCACGATATGAATTTTCGATTTTATTAAAAAAAAGCGAAGAAAAATTTTTTTTCGATTCTTTAGGCTTTTTTTACGAAAACGTTAATGGGTATAAAAGCATCGGTCACATATATATGATATATGATATATATATAACTTTCTTATACTTTTTTCGTTTGTCAATTTATGCACTCATGATCATTGCAAAATTCGCAAGCTATCTAGTTATCTTCATTTGTTTTCAAGTCAGAACAGCAAACAAGATTAGCTATATCTGAAAATCATTAGGATTCGTCAATAGTGACGATCCATTGTACGAACTTATTGACTGTTGTATTGTAATTAAATATTTAGGAACAATAATCTCAAAATGCTCAGGCAAATTATATCGATTTGAAACTATATGTCCTTGAAAGTACTTAACCAGCAGAATAGCCAACTGATAAGCCCGCTCGCTGTTGAAAGAGTAATTTGCGATTTTCATATATTCGCTTAATTCGGTTGATACCCACAATTCGTCTCGCTTTTCCACCTATTTCATCATTAATTTTCGTATTGAATGTTCGCTCTCCATTTAGCTTCTTCTGCTCCGCTTTCAATAATTAATAGTTAAAGGTATGTACAAAAAAGTTGAACCTAACAAATGCACGAACGCAATAGCAATACAAAAAAAAAATTTATTTTTTTTTTTCAAAAATATTTTTCTTCTGCAAAGAAAACGGAAAATTGCCTGCTGCCTAACAACAATATGGACTCTTCTTTGTATTAAGCCAGGAGTTCCCAAACTATGAAAAATGTTTCCTTGCAAAGCAGACGACGAAATTTTTGGTATTAAACCTTCTACTAAATAAAAGGCGTCTTCGTCATAGGTGTAGAGAATTCGCGGCATTATTCTGTTTTTCCAAAGGTGTTCCAAGCTATAGGAGATGTTTCCTTCCAAAGAGTTGGTCTATTGCCTAAGCAGGTGCTAAAATTTTTAGTATTCAAACTTTTATTAAACAAAAGATGCTTTCGTCACTTTGCGGCACTATTCTCTTTTTCCAAGGATGCACAAACTATGCGAGATGTTTCCTTCCAAAGGTTCGCTCCATTGCTTAAGCAGGCGCTAAAGTTAGCATTCAAGCTTTTATTAAATAACAGATGCCTTCATCATAGGTGAGGAGAGTTCGCGGCACTATTCCCTTTTTCCAAAGATTGAAAACCACTGTGTTAATACCATGTTTCTCCAGACCTAGCCGAGCACAGCCAACTAACTTGGGAGGGCAGCCCTGCCCTTCTAGTGCTTATAAAAACACAATCATTGCATCGTAAGCGAGAAAGGCATAAAAATGGATATTTCTAACCTCTTCGACCATGCACCACTACACCAGTGGCATGCACTATGCGTTTTTAATTTATCACGAATAAACAACGTGTCTCATGTTAGGCTCTATATATATATATATATATATCTTTGTTAAGGGATTTTTAGTTACTCTTACACTTGGTGCTTCTTTTGCTCTACCTCTAGCCAGGTTATATGCAAAATTCGCAATGTTAGGATTTACCATCTTTTCGTCTATTATCCATGAAAATGGTCTAAGAGTACAGAAGCTGGGGTATATATGATTTTTCTGTCAATGTGTGCGTGCACTTTTAGTGGTTTTTCATTATACTGGTTGATAAGGACGGCATCAAGAAGTTAAATTTGTGCGCCGTTGCATTGTTTTTCAAAAAACAAAAAATCAAGCACAGAAGCGTTCATCTACAGATATATAGTTCGGTTTCGTTAGTTTTAAGGTTAGTATGTGTATGGCTCCGTAGCATCACTGCGCCTTTGGTTTTGTAAATCATATTCGTTATATACATGTGTGCGGATGTTGTCATTTTTGTGTGGCAATTCTCCACCAAGTGAAAGAGTTACAAAAACAACATATATATATATATATATCTATATATATATATGTAAACAAACGCAGGCACTTTTAATGATATTCAAAATAGAAAGAAGGCTAACACGGTGTTAGGGGGCGCAAGAAAATACGTAAATGGGAAATTGCAAAATAAAAGAAATTGAAATCCATAACGAGAACACAACTCCACGATAAATTCTTATGTGTGCGTAAATATCGACGGATTCGGTGAAGGCATTAAGAACGAACTCCGTGTGCATATTGCTATTGAATTAAATTCTTTCGAATTTTTGGATAGAAATTTAATCGAAAAGAAAGCTTTAACCGCTAGCTAGGAATGGAAATTACCCATCGCCAAAAGATGGGGATGAATGTACACATTTGCAAACAACCTTTAGAGATCGCATATAGTATATATATTATTGATTAACCTAAAATTTTGGAACGATCTTGCCGTCTCTGTTCGTTTGTGTGTCTGCATGGCTGTACATTACTGACGTGAAAATCTGGCTGGGACTTCAAAAATTTGAAAGAAAACCCTATAAGTTTTTTTCTAACACGCAGGCTCGTTGGGTCATCTGAATCAAAGGTCAAATCTACAGTGAAACTTAACCTATCCTCTAGTTCTTTAATTAAAAATATTTGGTTTTTTTGATATATTTCAAATTTATTTTATGGCTAACTCCAATCTGCTATTCACGATGCTATTCATTATCAAATTTTTGATTTTTTCGATTAGCTAAAGAAGACAATATTGAATATTATTCTATGCATTCTACACGTGACGATACATTGCTTCTAATTAGAAACAATTCAACACGAAGGAACTAAACGTTATGGTGGAGGAGGCATTGCAGGGCACGAGATTCATTTTTACCTTAAAAACTATTAAATGTGCTGACGGGTTTTCGAGATTCGGCCCCAGCTGACTATAAACGTCTTAGTTGTTTCAATTTTCAAAAGCGAAAAAGTGATTCGCCTCGTCAGTCATTGTCAATCGTTTGCAATTCAACAATCAATAAATTGTGGAAACTATAGTAAATTCACGGACTACCAAGGGTGCGACAAGAGATGATCATAAAACGTGGGTTTTCTTAATTAAGAGTAGTGACGGAGTAGTTTATGACCAGTTTTGCTAGAATATTTCAACTAAAACTGTAGACTTAAATAAAAATTTTCGAAAAAATAGTTACCCAGTCTGGCTCGAACCAAGTAAGAGATTGGTGAAAAGGCACTAGCTATTATAGTGCAATTAAATTGCATTACTACAATTTTTGATTTTTAATCATTGTTTGCTTTCTTCCTCCTTAATACTATTGATTGGAATATAAATTATACGAACAAATTGATTTGGCCATAATATTTAGAGTAAGATTATTCATTACTTAAGCCTTCTAATTTCAACTAACCTTTAGGTTTCGTGTTGGCAGAGTTTAAAAGTAAAATCCCAACTTTTCTTTCAACTAAGTATAAATTTCCTTCGGGTCCAGGAGTCACCGATTGGCGACCATTGCTTCGCATGGATTCAATCAAATATATTTGAAACTTTATTTCGCAACAAAGTTTACTATGCTTACAAAATAAGTGCTAGCTTTTATTTTCTGATGTTATGTATCTTTTTTTTTTTGTTGGTTTTGCAAAATTGAGGCAATAATAACATTGCATAGTCAATGCATACACTCACTCCTAAAACTTTTAGAAGATAAGGAGAGCAGCAAGAAAAGGTAAGATAAAAAAAAATTTTCAATAAACACATTTTCAAATTCTACGGATATTCGGCGATGAGAATTTATGAAACGAGGGAGCGAGAAAGAATAGATTGGAGATTATAAAAAAAAATGCACAAAGAATGAAAGTTGGGTTTTCAAAGTAAGAAAATATATATATATATATATATATATATATGTATGCATATATATGCGGAAAATGTATCAGAAGAAAATGCAGGGGAAAGAAAGAAAAAGATGAAGGCGCATTAAAAGATATTGATGGCGAGATATATAAACATACACATACATAAAGAACATACGTGTGGGATTTAAAAGACAGAAAAACAAATCCTTTAAAATAATAATACACACTGGCATTCAGACATATTTTCTTTTTGGTTGTTAGCAAGCAAGAAATTTTATTTGTAGATCTACACAAATACGTACATACATATTAACATGCTGACTTTAACTTTCCGTTTTGTTTGGCATTTCGTTAACCATACGAAAACGTTAACCAATCATTCAACTTACATTTCTAGAAAAACCACCTTTATTATAATAGTGTAGAAATTGTTTTTAGGTCGCCTTGGACTCAATATTATTGAGAGTGGAGTTGAGAGTGCAGTTCATACATCTCAATATTACCTTTTAAAACATTAAAAAAAAAATATACCTTTCCCATCTACTCTCATTTTACTTTACTTTGTTGCTTCTATAAAAAATTTTGTAATTATCCGCACTTCATTGCTTTACATGATGGAAGGAAAAAAATTATACACACATGAAAAATACAACTCTTTTACTCTCTTTCATACCAAGACCGTGTATATGAGATACACTTAAGTGTCAATCTCTTAAGAAACAACAACAATAGGTTAATGGTATAAGAAACACATCGCCGTCATCAGCAACAACGCTATATTTCTTTCGCAATTGGTTGCTGGAGTAAATTAACATATTCATGCACATGAATATGTTGCATATATATTTCCTCGAGTAGGTATTTTTTTTTTAGATTCCAAGTTCCCTTCTAAACTTACCTTTTTCTTCTTTGAATTCTCAACTTTTGATAATTTGTTTTTGCAGACGAATGCACTATCACTCACTATTTCTTCTCCTTCTTTTTTCCTTCTTACAAATTTCACTGTACTTTTTCGCCCGTTGTCTACTTTTTTGTTGTTGCTTTTTTCTTTCACTCGAAATTTCTTTTCTCGTGTCAGACAAAATTTTTCATTTAACAAACTTGCGTTACGTTTTTATTTTGATGGTTAACAACTTCGTGCTAATATTTTTAACTTTTTACTTTTTTTTTGATTGAAATATTAGCAAAATTCTATTTTTCTTTTGGAAATTCTTCCGTCTATTGTTTCGGTTCCGGCTCTTACGATTCGGAGGAGAAAAACAAAATGAAAGTCGCCAACTTTATGAACAGTTTCTCTCACAATCCTGGTTGCCAAGTTTTTCTATAAAAAGTATTCTAATTAGGGTAGAATTTTTTTCACTTAACCTAAATGTGCAGCACTGTGAAAGGAAAAACAGATGTTTTATCAACTTTAGTAATTAGAAATGTGGATATTAAAAAAATTAATTCAGTTGAAACTAATTAAAATATCAGTTGAAAAGCATTTAAAACAACCTGTACGCTTATTATGTGCAAAGGCAGAAGAAGATCAATCCCTTAGTTTCCGAACTAGAAATTGGCTACAAACGCAAGAAAGATATAAGGATTACGAGCATGTTTTGTTCAGCTCTTATTTGGAACAGCAAGCAGATCATATGAGCTATGCGCTAAAGAGGTCCTTTTTAATCAAAGGCAAGCTTAAGCGGTACCATAATCAAATAAAGGAAATGGCAAAGGGCTGGCAGCCGAGCATTATACCTAAAAACTGGATGGATGATTACGAATTTTACCAAGGATCTCAAGAAGATTCAGCAGACAAACAAGATAATAACCTGGGACTAGCTGATATTACTATGCCATCTTCAAATGTACCTTGTAATGGTTGTGGTGCTATTCTTCACTGTCAACAACACACTAAACCAGGTAAGCATTAAAATCTTCCTTTTTTCGTGCAGAAGCCCACTTATTAATAAAGATGTTTTTGTAAAGGTTTTTTACCCTTAGAGATTTTCGGAGGGCGAACTGAAGCCCAGCTTAAATCAGTTATTTGCCAGCGATGCCATTTCCTTAAATACTACAACATAGCATTAGATGTTGAAGTCACTCCACAATTTTACGTGGACACAATAGCTCGTATTGAAAATGAATTTGCTTTGGCTGTCATAATAGTAGATTTATTGGACTTTCCTTGTTCGATATGGCCTGGTATGCAGCGTTTGTTGGGTCATAAACGGCCAGTTTTCATTGTAGGAAATAAAGTTGATTTATTGCCACGCGACTGTAATAGTTATTTAGATCACATTAAAGAATGCTTGAAGGAGGAAGTGGTTAAAGCCGGTTTCGACAAACTAAATATAAAACACGTTAGTTTAATATCGGCGAAAACGGGTTATGGTATTGAGGAACTTATAACACAATTGCAAAAAATTTGGACTTACAAAGGGGACGTTTATTTAATGGGCTGTACAAACGTGGGGAAAAGTTCTCTTTTTAATATCTTGCTCAATTCCGATTACAGTCGTCCAGGAAATGCAGACATAATTCCCAAAGCTACCACATGTCCCTGGCCAGGCACTACACTCCAAATGTTGAAATTTCCTATATATCGACCGTCAGATATCAGAGTTTATGAAAGATATCAACGTTTACGAGCAGCGCGCTCTATTAAAGGGGAGGAAGCTAAACTGTTTAAAGGAAAATCGAAGAAAGCTGTAACTTTGACTGATATAACTCCTAAAGGAGAAGTTGGATCCACTTTTGAACACAAATTTTCTAACGAATTTAATGATGCGTTTTCAATGAGCCTTGGTGTAAGACCAATCACAACTTTAGATGAGCGCAGCAAAATATACAAAGCGAGTAAGTGGCTTTACGACACTCCTGGCGTAATGCATCCTGATCAAATTACCAGTCTTCTAACAGCGGAAGAGTTAAGCCAAATCCAACCAAAACGAATGATAACGCCACGCGGTGTTCGCTTGGAGCCAGGTATGAGCTTGTTTGTGGGCGGTTTAGCACGATTGGATTTCTTAGGAAGCGATGCGGCAGATTTAGAATGGTTGCAAGTGTTTTTGTACGCGTCTTCAAAACTACCTATCCTCATAGGAGAAACGCAGCACGGCCAGGAACTTTATAATAAATATTTAAACACGCCGCTTTTACAATTACCCTTCGGTGATGCAAGTAGGCTTAGTAGGTGGCCGGGTTTGAAGCCGTCTCAACAATGCTTAAAGGTGAAGGGTTATATACTAAAACCAAAATTTAAAGAATTAACTTGTTCTTCAGATATAACATTATCAACCGCTGGATGGGTTGGCTTACGCATACCGATAGATGTGGAGTGCAAATTTCAAGCATGGACACCTCAAGGTAACGGCGTTTATGTAAGAACTCCTTCTCTTATACCACGTGCCCACCGATTAATAGGAAAAAGAATCAGAAATTCATTTGCTTATAATATTGCTAAACCATTTGTTTTTCAAAAATAAAGCGAAGCATTAATTTTTTGTGGATTCGTGGGATTCAATATGCGAAAACAGGGGAGCGTCAATAAAAACCCAGTCTAAAGTTAAAAACTGCTAGGATAAGTTTTTTTTATTCAGTAAAAAAGCGATTGAAACTGTTAACAAATTTATTTCTTAATAAAATTAAGAAAGCGTGATATAGTTAATTTTTTACAAATGAATGGCTCTTGCTTTTCTCAGAGTGTATAGGCTGTTTTACTTGCTTTGAAGAACGCGCTTTTGCATTTTAATCAATCGTGAAAATGAAATTTTGGCAGCTCTGTCAAATGTTAGCGAATTTCTTTTGACAATTCGAACAAAACAAAGAGAAAGATTTCTCAGGAAAATCCTTTGAAATCTTGGCACTTTTCTTACTAAAAATATTTAAAATTCTTAAATGAAAAAAAAAGTTAACAATATATATTTAAATGAATTGATAAATTAAAAAATAATACAAGTAATATCGTTATTAAAGAACGCATACACATTTGATAACAATAACAGGAAAAGTGCATAGCGGCGTGGGGAGAGAAATTGTTTTTTCTTATCCCTTCAGAATACACATGTAAAATTTCATAGTTTCTTTTCTTAGTTAAATTAAGAAAAACGTAGTAAAAGTCAGAACGTGTTAAATCATTTTCCCCGAAATGGAACATAATGCCAATGACCCGTTTGCATCGGAAAATAGTGGCACTGCCAGATTTGTGGGTAGTGCTAGTGGAGACCACTCCCTAGATAACGGCGGTATGACATTGGGTGCTGGAGTTGCTGGCCATCTAGCAGCTGGTAGTGTGAATGCCACAAATGAATTTCAAACTATAAAGCCGGGCAGCGGTAATCCTCTCAAACCGGTTGCTCGCACCGAAATACCGTACAGTGAGCTGGTCAAAATGTTATATTATTTGGAGGGTGAATTACAAGCACGCGATGTGGTTATAGCGGCTTTACGCAACGAACGGGTGAAACAATACATAACACAATTGCGTTCAAAGCGTATTCAACCTAATGATCCTTACGCGGCAATATTTCGCGATAAAATTGCATTATCTGGCAATTTAATATCACGCGAATCTTCAACGCAAGCGGCGCAAGCTGAAATGGAAGTGCGCCAAATCATAGAACAGCAGATGGAACAACAATATCAAATGGTCAGTAAGCAGAGAGCCACTCACTTGCGTATGGTCAATATATTAACTGAATCGCTAGAGAATAATCAACGTATGCTGCAAGAATTAGAAGAGGAAAAGCGTAAACATGAGCACGACACGGCGCAAGGTGACGACATAACATATGGATTGGAAATGGAACGCACTAAATTGCGCCAGGAATTGGAAGAAGAGAAAGCTCAAGTGAAGAAATTGGAGAAAGATATAAAGAAATTACAAGAAACATTAGAATATGAGCGTAATCGTCAAAAACAAATAGTATTACTATTAATAGCGGAGCGTAAAAAAATTATGATGAAGTATATAGAAGAGGGTAAGGGCATAGATGTAGAAAAAAAATTCTGCCTTTTTCTGAAACATTTTAATTTGAAGGTAAACGCTCTGAGGATTTAGCTCAGATTTTGGCCGAAGAGAAACAGCGCTCAGATACCATTGCTGAAGGTTTAGAGGAAGAGAGTAAGAAATCTTTACGCATGGAAGAGGAACTAGAGAAGCAAGCTGCTGCTTTTGAACAAGAACGCAAAACCTTAAAAGCCAATTTGATTAAAGAGGAGTTAAGGTGGAGAAGGCTTTTCTTCACTATTGAAAAACAAAAAAAATAATTTTTTTTTTCGCTATTTCAGGGTCAAAGACTTGGAGGAGGAAATGATAAGTTTGCGTACTGAAAATGAATCATTAAAGAAACAACAACATCAAATGCAACAAAATGCCGCTTTGGTAGCTGCTAACGCTGCTACCTCAGCTAACTTGTCTGGTTCTAAATCTCGCGCCTATAGCGGTAAGTTTTGTTTTTTTTTTTTTGTTATGAATTATTTTCGTACTATTGTACCATATATTTTTTTATAATTTCGTATTTTAGTATTTATCTAAAACAAGAATTCCTTAATTTTTCGCAGAAATGTTTTGTTGAAAAGATCTAATGTGTACAGAAAACAATGTTTTTAAAATTTAAACGAAAATCTGAATTTATGCTTTCTTCACCTACATATATTTCTATTGTCCTCTGTCGTTATTGTTGTTGTTGTGAACTATCTGCATCACATTCTGCAACAATCAACTCCAAATAAAATCAAAATCCAAAAAAAGTTTACTGAAAATTAAATAAACCAGGTGATTTTTCTTTTCTCTTCTTTTCATTTTGTTAATTAATTTGAAAATTAAATTTTATTAGTCTTTCTGTTTGGTTTTTTTTTTTTTTTTCTTTTTCAAGTTTTCTTCCTTCCACACGTTCTGCATAACTTTGTTTGAAAGACGCTTGAGAAATTTGTTTTTAGCACTTTCCTTTACAGTTTATTTTTTTAAATAATATTATTGTTGTTATTGTTGTATCTTTTTCATTTTTTATTCTTGTGTATGCCAGTGAATTGTTAAAAGACGTAAAAAAAAACCCGTTAGGCGAGAAAAATTGTCTTTTATTTGTAATAACGAATTTGTTATTGAATACTGTACGTGATGTTTTAAAAGAGAAACAGTCAGAGATAAAACAAATTGAAAAGACTTTTACGAAATCATCATCAATTAATGTAACTCACTGAATCCCTTCGATTGAAAGGAATAAAATGTTATCGATACTAGAAAATAGCAGAAGCAATCAATTTAAATCTACTTTAACGTCTATTTTCCCTTTGCATGACCCTGTTCCTTTTCATTTTCATTGCGCATTATAGTCCATTAGAACCATGGTTTCGATTCGTGATCTAATTAATTAAAAAAATATCATACTTAGGCAAAAAGGTACTTTAAACAGTGACTTCTCAATGACAATTTTTTCAAGCATATGATGTACGCATCTAATGCCCTTGATACTATTTTAACGATTATTATTGAGAAGCAAAGAGGTGAAGTATGTTCTCAGCTATCCATAGATAATGCCTAACGGTTAATTTGAAAATTACAAATCTCGTATTTAGACTTTAGATGCCTTTCCTGCAATGCAATTAAAAGAAATCAATGAGCGGTTTTTTTTTTTTTTCTGTTAATAATTTGTCCAAGAAAGATAACAAAGTGGTGTGATTGAAACAAAACAATATAAGTCCAAACTTACCTTTCCAAACGGTTTAAAATTACAAATAAAAAACAACACGAAGTTGCCCCATGTAAAAGTATACGAATTCCAATCTGCATGGTAATGTGCAAGAAACATTTCAGAAAGATAAAATTCGACAAAAAATTCGAACTCGCGTGAAATGGTTTTTAACATAAATATGTTTTCAAAAAAATTGCATCTTATTGCAAGGGGTTGGATTTATCAGTAACAATTTGAAACCAATTAATGGCTAGAAAAGCAAAAAAAAAATTGCGATGACTATGAATATATCCCTGTATTATGATATTTCAAAGGAAATTGCTCTTGTCGTTAGGTGTGTCATGATCAACATTTTCTCGTCTAAAATAAGTTTGCATCCAGTTTATATTTTTCGTTGAAATTGAACATTTTTTATTTGCTTTGCTTTCTACCCTCAGAAAAAGTTTCCAGTAAATTCGTTTAACTCTTAGTTCTTTGTTGCGTTGTTTATGTTTGTTTAAAAAGTGAAATTTGAATGAAATATGTAATATGTAATTTCCAGAAGATGGATGTACGGTTACTCCTATGGTGAATATTGCGAAAATTGTGCAACCCACAGCCACCGTGTCTAGTGTACCCGTTTCAGGACCCACCACGGGAATAGCACGTTCTATTGTCCCCGGACAGAATGTACGTACAGGTGTGGCCATGGCTGCGACTATTTCATCCCTACCGCAAATGACTGCCACCAATGTCACCGCTGCTGCTACCGTTCCAACCAACATTATTAATAATATTAATAACGAGAACTCTGCAAGTAATATGGCGCCAGTAAATTCGATGGGTTCGGGCGCAATTGTTGTCCTGAGTTCTGCGGCCACAGTAGTTGTGGGACCACCTTCTCCTTCGCCAGCTAAAATGCAACCAACCGCCACCATCCAGCGAGCACCTGGCGGTAAATATTCAGCTCTAGCTGCTGCTGCAGCGGCAGGCCACTCACTCGATCAAGCTCCACCATCGCTTCATCCTATACCCATCGCGGTGCCACCTGTTACAATTCCTGTTACAGTACCAGGTGTACCACCAGCCGGTGCCAGAGGGCTACCACCACCTATACCACCCAATAAGCCCATAGTGCCTCCTAAACGTGAACCTTCCTTATCACGTCTAGGCTCTATAAGTGGTGCTGCTGCGAGTGTTGCGGCTGCCGCCGCAGCTGCCTCTACAGCTGCTGCTAACCCTAAACTTAATTAAAACACATTTAAAGTCATTACATAAATATTAAAGGAAAAACAAAAAACAAAAAAAAAAAACAAGAAGAAGAACAAAAATAATGCCGTAATTACTTAAAGAAAATATTACACATCAAATACTATCTCTCGTCTCTTATTTTATATACAAGACATACTTGAGTAGACACACAAAAAAAAAAAAGTGTGCACATAAATGCATGTGCACTTAGCGATATCTATTAAAATATATTGTATAACGATCTTTCTTTGTCTTGGGGGGGAAATGTCAACCGATTGTAGATTTAAAAATGAAATTATTATTTATAATCGCTGCATGCGCATATACCATAAACTTAAATTTAAACTGCAAAGTATTATTATAGTTTACCATGCAAAAGGCAATTAAAAATATTAAATGGAATCTCTTACTCTTATATCATCTAGAAATAATCATAAATTTGAAAAATCAAAAAATTTGTTCTTGAATTTACCTCGATTAAGTACGTACGTCTTTTTATATATACACTTTGTTCTTTCTTTTTCTTTTCCACAAGTCCTACGATATAATATAATATGATATAAAGTTGACACTGAATTATAAAATGTTAAAATGTTGTGATGTGATTATGAAAAAGTTTTCATTTGTACAAGTTTTTTTTTTTTTGTTTTTTTGACAAATCTTAAGTAAACATGTAACTATCGATTAATTGTAGCAAATTGATTGAGTACAATAAGTAATCAATGAATTGAAAAAAAGTTCTGTTTTTTTCCCTTTAAGTCCACTAACTTCTAGTTACATTTCTTAATAGTATTTCATAATTATTAAAAAGTTCAATTTTTCAAATATGTTAAGAAGTATACAATTAGTTTACTGCCTTATAATAAAGTGGCGGTATTTGTACCTCTTCAGGATCATCATGTTTATCAATTTCATTTTGCATTTTTTTTTTTTTCAATTTTCAAATCAGAACTAAACGGGATGATGACGATAGCAAGAAAATATATTAAATCTGTAGACTGTAGTTAAAGGAAAATTGGGCTCACTAGGTGTCTTGTTGCTAATTATTATGATTTCATTTAGAGGCTTCGGTTGCGGGGCTGCCTAAGCAATATTTTACACTTTATTATTAATCTACATAAGTTAAAAATGTGAACAACTTGCAGACAAAATTCTCTCCTTATTCAACGAGATGTCCAAAATACATTAGAAAAGTCTACTAATAACAGCAGAAGGTGAAAATTGTTGAGAGTTCACTATGTCAGGCTTGTCAGGTGAAACCGTCAATCAATGCTTAGTTTAATAAGGCTTGGGCTCGATATCCAATTTGCAAGCAGTGTCGAGAATTGGGCGGATATTCAGTGCCCTGATTTTGTAAAGATTTATTCCCTCATAGTTGGTAGAAATACCAGCAAGAACCACTGACGCTAAGATATCGATCTTTTATGTTCAAATAACGCTACCAGTATTGCATCAATTTAATTGACGAATTCAAACATGTCTGAACATACATTTGGTATCGTACAGCAACATAATCATTACTCAAGAGCATTAAGTCCTTTTCATTTAGTTCTTACTTGGAGGAAGTAAGAAAAGCTTTGTGAATTATCAAGTAAGATTTGCAAATTTCTCGACAAAATGTTTTTGTGAATTAACAAAACTATTGAAATGCAATTTTCCATGTTTTCGTTTTAAGCAATGTCCAAGATTATGTACTTGGAAAATCAATGCGGCAACTGTTACTCTAAAACCCCTAAGAGTTTTTATTCTGATAAGAATTTATTTTGACAATTACCTACAAAGGATAGCGGGCTGATAGGAATTTCAGAGACTCTACGCAATGTGAACAATATTGATCGGTATCAGGCGTATCTTCTGTATACTTAGGACATCAGCTTCAAATTTGGCAAAGACATAACAAGTTCTTGCAAACAGTTTAATATTAAAAGTGACACAAGACGATCAACGGACACAACTCCTTTGTTTTGAAAAGCAAGCAAAATAACCTCCTTGAGCTTGTTAGTCGCGAACGACGGCAATAATAATTATTTATATATGTATGTAATTCTATAGCACTTTTACAAAAATGCGAAGCATCGACCGAATCCATCCAACATCATAGAGACAATACGTTTCTTTCATTTTTTTTTTTTTTTTTAATTCTTTCTAAAATGAAAGGAAAGTGTATAAAATATTACTTACTTTTTTTTTTTGATAAGGCAAAGCTCTGATTAATCTTTGCAAGCCACCCACCCAATGAACAAATCAATTGCAAATGTAGTTTTGTAAGAATTTTTCCTTTTTAAAAACGTAAAATATCCTTAAAAATATTAATGGCTTGTGATTTTTTTCTTTCTTTTTTTTTTGTTTCCAATAAATTTAAATTATTTCAAGAATTTTGGCAGGAATACGTAGAAAAATTTTTTTATACTGTACACCACATGTGGCGTAAGAGCATATTAAATTGGTGCAGATGTATGCAACGCCCAGCTAAACTGAAAACAGACCCACCTTATATTATACCGATCGGTTCAGAATCACTTTCGCAATCGATCTCATTTTGCCTGCTTGTGTGGCCGTCTGTTTGTATTCAACTTACAAGAGACATGTTGATAAAATTTGGTACACCAACATTTTTTGGACCGAGAACGAATGCTATAGAAAATGTTTCGAATAGGGCTGCATTTCCAATGAAATATTATTTGAAACGTCGTTTATGTGAATAACTATAGCGTGGCGTAACCTATTTAATGCGGCCCCCTTTAGTGGTTTTACTGGTTCTTTTTTTGTAAGAACCTCTTCGACTTGCAAACTAATTCTACGTCTTAAGCATGAAATTGAGGTTAGATGATTTTTTCACATTTTCTTACGATCGGCCGAACAATGTTTTGGAACAACTTTTTTGCACAAGTTCGTATATTTCTTAAATCATTTTTAAATTTTGTTAATAATTATTTAAAAACAAAATGGCGGCACAACAGTTCTCACAAAAAATTTCTTTTTTTAGAAAGCACCTTTGCCCACCTTCCTGACTAATTCGTATCCATTTTTAACTATAGCTCTATTATGATATTCTCTAGTGGCCTTTGTGAAATATTTGTAAATGATGTCGATTTTCTATTTCTCCAAAAAGTCCATGTAAAATTAAGTAATAAACTAAACCGAACTAAATCAGTGAAAAACAAGTAAGAACATTGTAGTCGGGCGGATACCACTACATAGCATAAACCACTTTGCCTAGTACATGTATTCGCTTGTTTTGGTAATAATACATCATACATATTGGAAGGTTAGGTTTTCTCTCCATACAAGACTTTCCGTTTCTTGGTAGATACATATATATATGTAGGGGCCTCAAAACAAAACAGTCCTATGTGATCCAAATTCTCTACCGTCAATTTTTGCTCTAAAACGAATTAATTTTCAATATAAAATATGAAAAATTAAAGTTTTTTCCGAACGGCTTTCTCCTCATGAGATATCTTATATGGAGTGAGGTCAAGAAATAGGCCCATGTGGTTCAAAGTAGATCAACTTAATTTTTTTATTTAATTACTATCACGAGTTACTAACACGAATTTCCATTACAAAAAATCAACAATTAGGCTCTTTTGGCATACAATGATGTAGGTTTCTTGAGAATCCTCATATGCGGTGGTATCCGAAAAATAAAGTTACGTGGTCTAAATTCGGTAAGGTAGATTTTTTTGTCAATTTACTATTATGAGGCGATTTTCCTCATGAAATATTGGAAATTCAACCTTCTTACCATACGAAGGTTCAGTTTACGTAGGAACGCTTATATGGAGGAGGATTAAAAAAATTGCCCCAGCCGTATAAAATTTTTTGTACCAATTTATAATGGTGAAATGCTGTTACTCATTATTTAGGGATACGGCCACTTCGGAAAGCATAGTTTCGGGGAGAATGTGATTAGGGATTTACGTACTTGAAGGTCCAAATAGCAACCTTTGCCGAAAAATTTAAATACTTTCAATAAATTTTTTCTAGGTAAGACATGGTTTATTCAATTCGAAAAATAGGACAAACGGACTAGCTTTTTAATGTGAACATTTGATATTTAATCATAAGTCAGTTTGCATTCCTGAGCTTGTTATGTGAATCTTAAGCTAAGAATTTATTTGTCAAATTTTAGTCTTCTTTTGAACATATCTGAACATGAACATATCTGATAGGTCTAACAGGTCTTGCACTATTCGGGAATATAAGTACATGCACTTTGTTGAGTTTCTGATAACTATTTCTGATGATTAGTTTACGTACAACTGACTATAACAAGATTACAAATTGAAATAACGGGCAGACATTACCTACTTTTTTTTTTCAATGCTTTCATAAATAACAAATGTGTTATCCGGTATGCATTTCTGGCTGCGTTGAAGTCGAGAATATTCCATGTGAAAAAATTTCATTACTTATGCCATTCTTGCAAGGAAAACGTGGTTCGTGGCTTAACACAAAAATTGCTTTTTTTTACTCAGTTTTGAAAGCATATTCTTACAGAGCTTATCTCCCCTTGTAGCTGACCTTTTCTCCTTCCTTGCGCATACTCAAATACTAAATGAGTACAGTTCGAATAAGATTCGATAATAGTACGTAATGTTCGCTTCGGAAATGAAAAACACTTTCGTAAGCTTATATATGCCAACTAATTAGCATTCCACTTAGAAGTCCATTTCAAATTACCTGTTAACTATATTATGAATAAGATTCCGAATATTTAAACTGTGTTCGAATTAGAAAAACAAATATTATATTATGCGCAATGATCTTCAAATTGTTTTCTACATCTAGAGAGAAAAGTTAAAAGTGGAAATAATATTAAACAATAAATTAAGATAGTATGCAATATAAAAAGTTTTGAAGACCTAGAAATCTATTGAAGGTAAAATTACAGCATAGAAATTGCCTGACTCTTAATATAGATATATATAACATATATAAAAACTTGATAGATATTAAAACCTTAAGGAAACATTTGAAAACACTCTGTGACTTCATTTGTAAGAAAAATCAATAATAATTTATTTAAAGAACGATTTATAACAAAAAAAAAAAAAAAAAAAAGAGGAAAAAAAAACATGAAAAAGTAAATAAAAAAGTTTCAACTCATTAGCAAATTGACTTGTAATTTACTATATCTTTTAGAATGGTGAAATAAGAGGGCCAAGCCGATTAATCCAAATTCGCTAGCGAGCAGTTAGCAACTTATTATATTATCTTCCATACTACATGTACGAAACGTCTTGTTTTTTCCCCAAAGCTTCACAAGAATTCGATATCAATTCCTTAACACCGCACAATACCCTCATTTAACTCACGGATTATGGAGTTATTTCCCGTTATAGAAACCTTTATCGTAGTCTGGGCGACGATACGTTTTAAAATTTTTTTTTTTTATTGTGATATCAAGCATGTATTAGTTTCAATGGAAGCATTCCATTTTTACTTGGACGAGGGCAACGAACCAATCAAGTTTGTAACCTAAGTCCTCAATGTAATAGTGTTACGTAAAATTCCTTTCCCAAGCCGCATATATTGACTCCATTATTCATCAACGAG